ATGTTTAAAAAAGCATTTTACAGGTAGAAACCTCTATTTTTCGGATCGCTACTTAAAAAAACGGTCTTATGGAGATTTCATGAAGTTACACAAACATAAATGAAGATATATCAGACCTCAAAATTTGTTATGAAATTTGCGAAGCTCCACGGAGTGGAATAAAAATTATATACAAATGCGATTTATATCATTCGAAAGAACAAATCTTTACCTTTAATTTGCTTTTTTACGAAGCTCCGTACGATTTTTTTTCATCGAGTTATTCAACGCTGAAGCAAAAATGGTCTTCCATGTTTTTTTAAGTAGCGATCCGAAAAGTAGAAGTTTCTACCTGTAAAATGCTTTTTTAAATATCCCGATACGACAATTTTTGACGAAGTTATTGTATCTTGAAATTTGCCTATTTTTGCAGAGTGAACAGGTGTTGCGTTAATTTTGTTATCCAGTGTATGTATATAAACAGGGAGGGGCATTTAAAACCGGCCACCTGAATAACTCGCTTGTTTTTAACAATAAAAGAAAAAGTATCAAACAAAAGTTGCTTGGTTTCGAGAGGCACATAATGTGATGTCAATAATTGTTTTATAGGCGTAAAGAGGATAGGCAAAGGTTAAATCTATTTTTTTAAATGGAATAAAATGTTTTTTTATTTACATTCTGATAGAGCATTTTAAGACGAATACAATGATCTATAATTGAAGGTTACGCAAGGTCAATAATGGAAAATAATTGAATGTAATGAAAAATAAATTTTTTCAAGGCACTCTTCAAATAATTTTGTGTCTTCTCTTCTTGTTGGTATACCGTTAATCGTTCAAGGGTATGTAAATATTTACTGTTTAAATTTCGCACATAGCATTATCCATATTTACTGATCAGTTTGAATTCATCTATCGATCAAAGTGTGTGTCTTGCGAAATGCGTTATACGAAAGTGGAAAAAATCGATATGATTTTCGTCTATGATGAATGTCGCTAAATTATGAGAGAAGCAGTACTGAAAGATTTCTCGATCATGTCCATCCCTCATACTCTGTTTTTTCAAACACAGTATAGACGTTTCAAGAAACAGGAAGTGTAGATAATAAAAAAACACAAACGAATCAAGAAAACAACAGACGACCGAAATTCAACGAACATTTTAACCGCTGTAACACTAAATCCATATATCAGTACAAGACAGCTTGAACGTGAAAGTGATATTAGTTGACGAAATGTTCTGCGAATAATCTCCATTCCAACAAATTTCATCCCTGCCATATCTCACTTCATCAAGAGTTACATGATTTTCAAAATCGTGTACAATTCTGTGAATGGGCACTATAAAGACTACAAGAAGATGATATATTTGTCACTAAAATTTTATTTACTGACGAAGCTATAATACATTTACAACTAATGGACAAGTAAATCTTCGCAATTGCTCAGTAGAAAATCCACATTGGATGAGAGAAGTGGACAGGCAGAGACCTTGATCTATAAACGTCTGGGCCGGAATTCTTAATGATAAAATAATTGGTCTTCATTTTATCGATGGAATTTATTAATTCCATTAAATACATAGTTGCAAGTATGCACAGATTTTAACAAAAATATTGCCACTATTATTAGATCTTCCACTGAACATATGACAATCAATGTGATACTAGCAAGATGGATGTCCTGCTCATTCTGCACGGATTATTACTGAATTGCTAAACAGAAAATTTGGAGATTGTTGGATTGATCGATCAAGAAATAACAGATGGGCCGCACATTCCCTAGATTTACAACCTATGGATTTTTATTTGTGGGGAAAGTTAAAACAACAAGTGTACAGCGAAGTGCCGATAACAAGAGAAGACATGAAGGAGCATATAAGAAGAGCTTACGTTGTGATTGATCTGAATGAAATTCGTCGTGCAATGTCTGTGTCGACATGTTTCAGAAAATGTGTCGATGAGTATGCAAATAAGTAAATTAATGAAATATTCGAAAAATGCCTTTAAACAATTTATTTTCAATTACAGCTAACCTTGTTATGTTTAAATAAACCTTCAATGTTTATTTACATACCGTGGTACACTTGAACAATGAGCGGTATACTAACAAGAAGAAAAGACACGAAGTTATTCGAAGAGTGCCTTGAAACAATTTATTTTCCATTAAATTCAATTATTTTCCATTATTGATCTTGCGTAACTTTAAATGACCTTCAATTATAGGTCATTGTATTCGTCTTAAAATACTCTATCAGAATGTAAATAAAAAAACATATCATTCCATTAAAAAAAAACAGACCTTTACCTATCCTCTTTACGCTTACAAAACAATTATTGACATCACATTATGTGCCTCTCGAAATCAAGCAACTTTTGTTTGATACTTTTTCTTCTACTGTTAAAAACAAGCGAGTCAGGTGACCTGTTTTGAATGCCCCTGCGTGCGTGCGTGCGTGCGTGCATATACATATATATATATATATATGTATAGTATGCATCCTTTTATATGTATACGTACGTATATCAACGATGATACGATGT